AAACTTTTACCCAAATCACAATAAAAATTTAAAAAAAAATAGAGACAGGTTTTAATTATAACAATACTTTATCTCCATTTACTAGGAGTTATCCGAGAATATTACAGAATCAGAGGGAAATGACTTACTCCATTTAGCTGCAACATTATCACCATCAGTTATATGCCACTCAAATACAGCATTTACTTTCTTCACGACCTCATGCCCTACATCCTTAAGGCGGTGACCTATTTCCTTAAACACAAAGGTGCTCTCAAGTTCCCCATCCTAGCAAAAAAAGAAAAGTTAATGTTAAAAGTTCTGTGAAAATGATTCAAAGGAAAAAATAATTATAAAATACATGTGCAACATAAGTGATTTTTAAAAGAATGACCTGCACAAAAATAAAGCACTTCAATTAGTTGGGTTTTTTTTCCACACTAGGTTTCATTCACACTTCTCTTATTTTTATATATGATCATCCAAAACCTCAATCTCTTAATAAGATTTTACTTTTATAGGAATTCAGAAATAATATTTTAAAACTAAGTCGGAACTAGATATCCTATGTCTCACTCAGCAGGAAGATACTAGACAAATCAATCAACTTCTCTGGTCTCATTTGTAAAATAGGCCTAAATTGCATGAAACCTAAATTGCATGAAGCCTAATTTCCTTCTGGTCCTAAAAACTTCATACATTTTTTATTTTAGATTTTTCCTAAAGGATTTTAATCTTCGGTTAGTTATATGATAATATGACTTAAGACAATTAAAGATCACATGGGCATCAAGAAATCAATGTTATATAAAGATTAATAAAGTTATAATTTTGGAGACAGAATGTAAATATATTTTATTGAAAGTTTCAGCATGTTAACAGAATATAAATGCTTAATAAATAATACATGTTATTGTCCTTTCAGTCATACACAAATCTTTATACAAATCTTAAAAATCAAGAAAAAGGCTCAGGATATTTAACTTTTCTCCAAAATACTGTTTCTTTAAAATTCTCATTAAACAACTGATTTAGTTACTATTAATTTATTAGTAACTAACAAATATCAATTATTTTGTCTTTAAAGCACCCACCTTATGTCTTCACTTTCTCAAGATCTACTTGAAAGCATAAAATATCCAACTAAGAATCTAACTAAGCTAGAAATTCTTAAATTGAGGTTTACAGATTGACTTCAAGGGGTGTATCACCTCCTTGAAATTGTACTCAAAATTTTATGTGCCTGTGTGTATATTCACTTTTCTGAGGAAAGGTTCCATCACTTTCATCAGAATATTAATATCTAGTCTAGAGACATTATCTACTATCTTTCCCAAAAAAGTTAAAAAACATTCTTAAGTTATAGAGGTATTCTTTTTATTCCAAATAGTTTTGAATTAATGTCAATTAATGTCAGTTCAAGAATTAAGAATCTTTCACTGCTCTTAACTTTCTAAAGTAATCTGAACATTCTCAAAGTGATCTAACAAATTCATAACAGAGAAATTATTTGGGTACCAGCTTTTACAACCTACCGCAGAGGGCATCTTAGCTGAAATATCAGTTGTTGGCACAAGATCTACATATGCATTTGAAATGGCAATGTCTCCAGTTTCTTGGATCTTAAAAGGGTACAAAAGAGGAGGGAAAAAAGAAAAAAGTTCATGCTGATGATGCCAAGGAAATGCAATTTCATTATGAAGTAGTATAAAGATATTTTTAAAATTTACACTTTGTCCCTAGGTATGGGGGGAAAAAATCCAAATTAAATAAATAGTTAATAAAGTAAAATTAAATAAACATGAATGATTACTTATTTAATACAACCGTTATTAAACCTAGTGGAATCAGCTGAAGCCCTTTTAAATGATACTTTCAGGCCCTATCCCCAAAGAGCCTGCCTGGAGCAAGGTTTGGGTATGGGTATTTAGGGACATTTAAAAAAAAAACAAAAAACATTAAGTATGTCTAATGGGCAGGCAGGGTGAGAACTGCTGAAGTCTTAGGGACTTAAGCATGGCACAATACCTACATAAGGTACTAGTACTCAAAGAACATTTGTGCTGTTAATATAGAATAAAATTGGCCAAGAACAGGTTGTAGTAGTCTTGTTAAGGTAGTAATTCTAGTTCTTATTTCAAATAGGAAGTGTACATAGTTATTCCAGTAGCTATTCTTCCATGGGCACTCTGGTAGTATAGTGCCTAAGGTATTTGACTGCTAACCAAAAGGCTGGCAGTTCAAACCCACCAGCCACTCCTCGGAAGGAAGGTTGGGCGATCTACTTCCATAGTGATACGCCTCGGAAACCCCAGAAGGGGTCACTATGAGTCGGATCCAACTCGACGGCAGCGAGCGTGTGCATGTGTGTAAGTAATTCTTCCACAGAAAGTATGGTATTGCTACAAATGTATAGAACAAGTTTCTAAAAATTAAGGTGGTATCCACTTTATCATGAAGATAGTTAACTATCAGGAAGACAGTTAACTGTTAACTCCTTTAACTACTTCCATGATAGTTTGAAAAGAAAAATATCTTTGAAATAATGTTAACTTCAAATTAGATATACTGAAAAGCATGGAAAGAGATAATTTATGAACAAAATGATGCACTTTAATAAATTAATTTCTTGCAACTAAGCCTAACATATCATTTCGGAACATTGGTTTAAAATGTTAAAATATACAGCAGAAAGCAAGGAAAGAGGAAGTGAGGAATGAAATGGGGTGGGAGGAAGAAAAGGAAGGAGGGAATCACATATAACAGAATTAGAATATTGGTAATCACTGTAAAAAAAAGAAAATAGTAAATATACTAAAATGATAAGACATGCTTAGAATTTACCAAAATGGCAAGGATGTATTATACTCAGATATCAAACTATTTCTCTATTCTTTTAGGTTGCATCGATAGAAATTATACACTGTTCACTACTACTATGCTGGGAAAATAAAAACTTGTATGTAATATGGTCATGGTCCTTACTTTTAGAGTTCATAATTTTGTTTGACAAATATAACTTACTCATATGAAGAAATTAGAAAATTAAGAAGATTCCAGAATATGTGGCACAGACATTAACTGCAAGAGGACTTCAGAGAAAGCTAGTATGTATGTCAGTATGAGTGCTAAAGAGATGAGTAATAAGAGACTGCCACAGGGTAATATAGAGCTTGAACTAAAGCCTGAAGGCAGAAGGAATCTGAAAGTGGAATAAAGATGGGTGGTAGATTAAGAAAATGAAATTGCAAGAAGCCGTAATTTGGAGTGAGGCAACCATGTAAGAAGTGTTCTGTGTACATATATGGGCCATAATCCAACAGCATATGAATCTGTGGGACGGGAAGGAAGGGCTTATTTGGAAGGGTGCCAGGAGGTGGGGCCATGAGAACCGCACCTTGAGCTTTGGCTTAGCAGCGAGCAGAGGCTGCTGCCGTGGCTCCTGCCCCAACTCAGGACCACTCCACAGGTCAGTGCTTGCAAGGAGAGGGGGAGACAGAGATGCTGGACTACAGCTGCTCTACTCCATTCTGTGGGGCTACCAGTTGCAACCTAGTCCCCAGGGGCTGCTCAGAGAGCAGAGTATGCCCAACTGTAGCCAACTGCAGGTGCAAGCTTGTAAACCCCAAGGTTTCAGGTGCTAGCAGAGAGCTAGAGCAACTTGTGAGGGGGTTACCTGATATATGTGAATCAAATAATATAAGTATATATACCATATATAACATAATTGCTCAAATAATTTACTTTAGAAGGATCAGCACAAGCCTGGTCCATATAAGGCAGAAGTTAAAGATGTCCCAAATGTTCAACTTTTCCAAATTGCTGTACCACTATATCATCTGCAACATTAACTCCTCCCTTCAGTATTCTCCCTATCCTCTTAGGGTTCACAGAACTAAATGCCAAGGAAATGCTGTGACACAGTTGTGGAGGACAGCAAGCCCCAAATCATGGGTCAGGCATCAGTCTGGAGGATTCTCCTCACACATGTGGTTGCACGGGCTGATGATCCCAAATTGGCAAATCAGGCTGCTGGTTCACAAGGCTGTGGAAGCTGGTGAATCAGGTCAGATTACAGGTTGCTGGCTCAAGTCCCAAGAACTAGAGGTCAGATGAAGATGAGCCAGATACAGGATCCAAAGCCAAACAGAGAACTTTGCCAGAGCATTCACATATGTTAGATGTAGACCATCTCCTCAAGAAAACGAAATGTGACGACTTGAGTCACACCTTCTAGTGACTCAAGGTACATCCCACCCTAATCCTGCCTCCTTAATATAATGGACAACTCACTCCAAAATGGGACCATAACCACAGTAATAGAGGCTATGATTTACATCACAAAATGGAGGACTATGGCTAGAGAAGTCATATTAATACACTGCAAAGCAACAGTGTTCACACAACAACATACAAATCATGTAACATCCTATTTCACAGAATATACCATGAATGTTCAATGATGCATACATGTATGTATTTGTGAAAGAATGTATAATAATACAGTAAAAAGCTTTGGAGCTAGGCTGACTATTCCAGCTTTATCACTTCCTTGAAGACCATGAGCAAGTAATTTAGGAGACCTAAACCTAGATTTTCTTACCTTTAAAAGCAGTTGTTATGCATATTTGTGATAATGGTAGAGGCTGGTTACAGACAATAAACAGAAGCTACTATTATTGTTGGTGCTCTTTAAAATGCTCAACACAGACCATCTAGATAGTACACCATGATACGGCCAAAAATAATCAACCTTTCAACTCTGTTAACAAATTTTCTAAAAAACACTTGAAAACAAAGCAAAAAGATGGCTACATGTCCTTTACTTCATCTGACCACTACTAATAGCCTATTGCTGCAGCAATGGTGTCAGTCCAACTTCTTGAGCATCATCCTCTTTTTGGCTGACGCTCTACTTTACGAAGCATAGTGGCCTTCTTCAGGGACAGGTTTCTCCTTACAACATGTCCAAAGTATGGATGATGAAGTCTCACCATCCTCACTTCTAAGGATCATTCCAGCTGTACTTCTTTCCAAGACAGATTTGTTCATTCTTCTGGCAGTCCAGGTATATTCAATATTCTTTGCCTATGCCATAATTCAGGAGCTCTGGTAGCATAGTGGCTAAAGCACTTGACTGCTAACCAGAAGGCTGGCGGTTCAAACCCATCAGCCACTCCTCGGAAGGAAGGTTGGGCAATCCTACTTCCGTAGTGATACTGCCTCGGAAACCCAAGGAGGGGTCGCTATGAGTCAGGGCCGACTCGACAGCACATAACAACAACAACAACACGCCATAATTCAATGGCATCAATTCTTCTTCCTCATTCATTGTCCAGTTTTCACATGCATGAGCCAACTGAAAATACCATGGCTAGGGTAAGGGCTGCCTTAGTGCTGAGAGTGACATCTTTGCTTTTTAACACTTTAAAGATGTCATTTGCAATGGTCCTATAAGTGTATTTGTATGACCTGAATTCCCAGGTGTATACTGGAGCTGACAAAAGGCAAGGTGGTAGTCACTGCTTGGTCACAGCCAGCTACCCAGAGGGACCGAGTAGTTGAAACCATGGGCACAGGACCACAGTCACAGGGGACATAAAGCTCAATTGGCATAACATACTACACAAAACATCATTCCACCTCCTACTTTGGTAAGTAGTGACTGGGACCTTAAAAGCTTACAAATAGCCATCTAGATGCAACAATGGGTCTCTCCTTGTC